ATGTTATTTCTTATTTCAATTACTCTTTAAATTGAAATATGATCATAAGTTTGCAAATTTTCACCCTATTTTATCCTTCTGAGGTACTTTGTTTTAAGGATCGTTGTTTTATAACCTATAAAATTATAAACACTATAGTTTATGTATAAACCAAGAAGATATAAATAATGTACTTTACCGCTAATGGACGCAAACAATTTACTGACTAAAGCAATGAGTAAATTGATTACCATACGACAAAAATAAAAATAAACGTGATCTAAATGTCGTTTATTATTCATTGTGGATATTTATTCTATTTCCAATAGCTGTTTATGTTCAAACATATCGTAGCATAAACAAAATAATCCATTTTTACTATTTCTATACGTAATATTTCGTTGAAATTTAATATAAAGAAATAAATTATTATGTAAACGTTATTTTACATGACAATTTAAATACGAGAAATAACTACTACCTCTAGCACATAGTTAAACTAACTTGCTTTACTTTCTAACAATCCTAGACAAATCAAGTTTTCTTCTAAATTTCTAATATGAATAAATTAAAAACCTGATTGCAGGATTAACTTGGAGACCAGTTTAAGATAACTGTAGTGTTGGCCAAGTGTTATTTAATTTTCTAAAGAATAAATGAGTACTTAAACTTTGGACATCTGTTGCCAAAGTACCCGTAAAAAAGATTGCTGTATTTCAAAGAAAACGACAGGAATTGCATGTAAAAGGCACACACCTTCAATTAAAACGTCGCACAATAGTTGTGCGACTGTCAATTGTTTCGCAGCTAAATCAACTATTTAGTTGCACACCTAAAAATCCAGTAGTGACCACACTTCTATAAGATCAAAGGAATCAAAGCGAGACTGAACAGTTGTGATAGTTTATTTTCAGGTGTGCGCACGCTCTAAGAAAATATTTTTGTCATTCATTAAAAAAATACGTAATCAAAGCATCAATTAGTGTAAAATGATGTTGACAAGTTGAATAGAATGTGAAAGCCAATAGTGAGCACAAACGCATTCAGACCGCAAATAGGTTAACTCTATTCGGTCTTATTAAACAGGTTGATTAGACGGAACTGCGGGCACAAACACGTTACACAATCGGTACACGACAAATCTGATTCATACGACTTTATTTTATTTCGTTTTACGTTTATTTTTAAATATGTGTTTACAAGGCTAGGGGATTTTTTTTTATAGAATTACATATAACAAATAACTGTGAACTTAAACGTTGAAAAACCAGACGAATTGAGTACCTCCTTCCTTTGGGAAGTCAATCAAAAAGACAAGATTTTATAAGGGATTTGCATTATTATTCAAAATTAACCTACAAAAAGTTATGTAGGCACATAATTTCAGTATGTGAACCTACAAGTAAAAAGAGTTTTATTATCCGCTATAGTGCCATCCAAACTGTAAAACTGCTCGGAATAGATGGCCCGCTTGTCATGCTCGCCACTCAGAACAGTTATTATGTTTGAATCTTATGATACCCGTGCTGGAGCACTAGTCACATATATCACATAGTCAATCTAATTTGCAACCTAAAAGTAGATTATTTTAGTTAAGGATTAGAATGCAAGTGTAAGTGCCAGGCGCGATGAGGTACGAATTAAGATTGCCCGACGTCGAGTTACTTCACACGAATACATTACGATAAAACCTGTTCGTAGCTACAGATAAACAAAAACTCAAACGTGAAATTCGTAAATGTAACAAACCGTAATTCATGAAAGTATTCCGTCATTATTCACGTGTTAAACTTTTGGAATAGCTAAAAATAATAATGGTAATAATAAGTGTAAACACCTGTCTTGTCATTTTTAAAGGCAGATGGTTTCTAACAAGTTCTTTTTAATAGTACAATTGTATGAACATTCAACTATGCTATTAGTAATAACTAATAATTACTAGAAAACCATATCCAATAGTAATTCCTAGAAAATTCTTAGGTATTTAAAAAAAATAATAAAGATAAACAATTAGTACTATAAGTTTTAAAAAATAATTAGCTTTTTTTCAATATCGTTTTGAATCTCACATATTGCTGTTATGTTTTAAATCAAAGGTATAGTGCGTAAATAATTTCCGACAGTAATTTACGGGCCGATGTAAAGTGTACTCAAGTCTGTACGTCGTCCGTAACACGGTATGTCAGGTCGACCTCACTCAAGGACTCTTGGCAACGACTGAACAATAAACATAAGAAATAGTAGTTTTTACATTCTTTCTACTTTGTATTATCATGTGTAAAGAAGATAAACTATTATTTCATGTAGTTATAGGTACTTTTCTATTCAATCGAATGAAATCTGGCATAGATATAGAGCACAGTCTGGAGGAACACGTAAGATTCTTACATTTTTTTTACTTGTTGGCGGAGTCGCGAGCGAAAGCTAGTATTTAAATGTATTTGGAAAAAAATACGTGGCATTTTCGGGGTTTGTATAAAAACATTGTTGTCTCTGTCTTTCCAAAGCGAATCAAAGGAAAAGTAATAGTAAAAGGATAGATGCTAAGTATAAGTGTTCCAATATTTGGCATATTTGCCCTTTAGTACTATTTCTTAATATATACATACATACATAGTTATTTTTCTAACTAGGTATAAGGAAAAAACAAAGCAAAGATATGACATCATACGGAAGTCCGAATGATTTGTTAAATGAAATATTTATGTGTACACAAGCCGTCTATACACCTAACCTCAAAGATAAACAATTGTCTATGCTTTCAAATATTTGTTGTGTATGCGATAACCTATTACGGGAAAGACGCAAGACATTGTTATCAATAGCATGAGTGTTCATTTTTAAAACGTCAAACGACAAAGGTATTTTGAACTTTGGTAGTTTACCGTGAACTTCCATTGCCTAAACATTCGTAGAAAAAAGTATTGTTATCTCATTATTTTTCAAAGAATTTAAGAGAGAGAACAATGTTGTTGGACTGTAGTGAAAACCCAGAGTTATGACTTATTTTACAAAGACATTCGTCCAAATTATCACAGCTGTTTTTAGATGGTATGGTCGGCTTGGAATTGTCAGACTATCTAAACGAGTCTGGTATTGAGGGCGATGTTAATAGCTTTCAGTTCGATAAACTCCTACGCATCCGCATAAGGATTGAACAGAACCATTACTGCTTCGGTATTACTCATATCTACCATAAGGCAATCGCCTACCACTTCTGACGTTAACGACAGACATTAAGATCTCATTTATTGGGAATTATAAGTAGACAAATTTAATAGTTCACATATCTTGAACACAGAAGTGGATTGTTCATTCGGTGTGTGTTACTTAATAACAATTGAAGGTCGAACATTCGAAAACGAAAGATATTAGATTAGCCAGGCAAGGCATTGAGCCAAAACAATCTATTATCACGGCATGCAATTTACTATGGCGAAAAAAATTTTACAAATACAATTACGGCAAAATGGCATTCAGTGATTTCATTACCTAATCTCTTCTTAACATGTTCTACTTCAAAATTATGTTATCTTTGCGATTTTTTTTAATATTTTCGCTAACGCAATATTTTGGTTACATAATCCATGATAACATGATGGAGTATGGGTTCTTCTAACGCAGAGACAGTATAAAACGTAAAATGTTTAAATATTAACAATAATAACGAGGTGTCTATCTAAAAAAATCTAATTCATAACGTTGACCATGAACTTGGCACGATCTATTGTTTATTTTTGTCGTTTGTTATTAAACAAAACAAACTATTTGGCATTTGTTGCACAGATAATAAAATTATTGTAGACAAAGTGACTTCTTTTGTATATCGGATGACGCCAACACGCATATACCGTAAAGTACCAAACCTTACGTAATCAAAATCGTTTAGATGTAGAGTTTAGAGGCGTCCGTAATCTCCGTCATTTAGCGACGCCGACGCCCGGAGTCAGATTAACGAATTAGGAACAACGAAGCTTAAATACTACGGGCTTGATTTGTTCACTTTAACTATAACAATTTATTGAGCAAAACAAATGAGACAAGGGAAAATTGTAAAAATGTTAATTTAATCATTCCTTACTCCATTTTTTAAGGGCTGATGTAAAAAAGAGAAATCAAATGAACTAAGCCAAAAAAGATAACAAGACGCAGATTTCCATAAGATTTTTTGTCTGCATAAAAAAAATTGTTAATCACAAACAAATACGGTTGACTAAATACGGTAAGCACTCATTAAATAGGTATTGTGAGGTTTACACGATAAAACATCAATAAAAGCAAATGAACATTGAAACTACATTATATCGTTTGGTTCAATGTATATCACGTTGTTTGAAAAACATTAAAAATATTGAATCGTACAAAAATTTTATCAAAGTATTATGTTCCTTGTTATATCAGTTTTAGTAACCGCTCCTTATGAATCTTATCATTAAAAATTATCTGCATACAAGATAAGTTAAAAATATCGCGATAATTCGTTTATTGTTTTCAAATTTTTCTTTCCTCAAATTAAATTTAATATAAATATATTCTCAAATTAATATCAGCAGAGCTGTTTCAAGTATGATATTTCTACTGTAACGCATATAGTAATGACCATTCATCAATTTTAAATTTGCCAGAACGACCTGTGGTCGACACAATAGAGACTTATTTAGCTATGACGAGCTACGTTCATAAATTACCTAACTATTACACAGTACTGGAAATACCAACTGTATTTTATTTGTTTGATATGATTTAACAAACATAAAGCCAAAACTAACTTCATCTTGGGCAGAGACTTTTAGGGTTTATCCCACCACTGACTGATAGAGGCTGAGATAGCTTAAAATGACGTCACTGTCAGATAAAGTAACCAAACATGATATTTTAATAGCATATTTTATACGTTGGATTGTTATCTGACATTTTGCAAGAATTTGGTGGGAATGACTTTAAAAGTTTTATATCTATCTATATCCTTATTCTTTTCGCTATGTGATTTTTAGTAACTAATATTAATTATTATAACTCACCCACAAGTACAGATTTCGCAGATACACTGCTCCTTAACAACAGGTTTCTCTGGTTTCTTAGGGCCGGCGTGTCTGGGCCTGGTCTCGTCAATGTAGACGGTCTCCTCGACAACAGTCCTGTCGTCGCGCACCGTTTTCCTGTCATCAATGATGGTCTCGTCGTAAACGGTGGTGACGATGTCCTGTCTCGTGGTGTCGGTGATCGCATGATCTACGACGTCGTACTCCCGTACATCTCGAACTGTGCGGACATCCTTCTAAAAAAGTATTTTAAAACATCACTAACATGAACAAACATGGAATTTAAAGCTTTATATGAAGGTACTCAAAGTATCACTTACCAAGTTTTTGATGTCTAACTCGCTATTGTCTACAAAAACATCAGTTTTCACTTTCTCGTCTTCTTTAGCGTCTTCGTAGGTCGTTACTTTCCTTGTAATACCATTTTCAGTTATGTAACGTGTAACTTCAACCTGACTTCTAGTTTTATCAATTTCGTATGACTTTTTAATTAAATCAGCGTTGGTTGTCTTTACAACATTTATTTGCTCCGTGTCTACACCTTCATAAAGATCTTTAACGTCCTCGTTTATTTTTGTGCCAAAGGACACTTTGTCGATTCTCTTGAATGGGTACTTCTTTACAGTTTCGATAATGTCTTTCAGTACTCTATCATCAATATTTCTTCTAATAACTATATTTTTGTTGCTCACTGTAATATCTTTGTTTGAAGATGATGTCTCGATTATTTTCCGCAGATCACTTATAGATGTGAAGTCTTTAATATCTTTTGATGTCAATATGATATTATCGTGTGTGTCCTGACGCTTCAGGTGGTGACGTGGTTGCTCCGGCTTACCAAACGGTGACATATCTTTAGGGCGTTTAGGTCTGTCTTCATCTGTTTCGTACACAAATTTACCATTCCAAGTTCCCGTGCTTCTCTCATAGGTGGTTAGAGTGTCTTTAGTCTCTGAAGTGGTTTTTGAAGTGCTTTCCTTAGTAAGGTTTTGCTGTTCTTTTGTAATAAACTCAGTCGTTTTAGTTACATCTTTAACGTCACGATTATCAGTTCTTCTGTCGGTTGAGGTAACTTCTTGAGTATCAGAATACACAGTCTTGTCAGTCGAGTCTTTTATAATTCTACCTTGATCATCAACTCCACCCGAAGGCGGTTCCGTAATAGCAGGTCTTTTTGTAAAATCTCCTGAATATACATTTCTGGTAGAAGCAATTTCTTTGCCATCTCTATACAAAGCAGATTCTTCTGCAACATGGGTGGCACTTTTCGGTACACCATCTTTGCCGGTATCATAATAAGATTCTTTATCTAACACATGTCTAGTATATTCATGTTCAGGCTTTATCCCAGGGCCACTGACGTGATGGCTTTTTTCATGGGTCGCAAGTTCCTTACTGTCACCCCATTCCCTGTGGGAGCTATCGACAACTCTTTGCTTCCCATCGACTACTTCTACCACATAAGATGATGTCGATGCCTGCTGAGCGCTACTGGTGTTACTTTTTAGAATTTTCGTTGAAAAGTTAATGCTATCAGTATCTCGTACATCTAAGATATCTCCTACCTTCCTGAGTTCATTTTGGATTGTTGTATCATAGCCATAGAAGTTTGAAGAGTCAGTCCTGGTGTTTTGGTTGCGTCTTTGTAAGCTGGTAGTTTCATTAGTGGTGGAACTGCTTTCGACGATATTTGTGTTGCTTTGCGTAGTGTTAGAAACGTCAGATGTCATGGTGGTGTGGTGCACGTTGTCACGGGTTGACAACTGATCTTGAGTTGATTTAATCTGTTGGAAGTTGTCCTGATGCCGTGAGGTGGTGTTAGTATGCTGGATATTGTCTCGAGCAGTCATTTGATCTTGAATTGATTTAATCTGTTGAAGATTGTCCTGCTGACGTGACGTCACGTGAGTGTTCTGCACATTGTCACGTGTCAACATCTGGTCTTGAGTCGACTTAATCTGTTGGAGATTGTCCTTATGTGAAATAACATTGTGGTGTAAAGAGATTTGAGTTCCATCTTTGACGAGTCTCGAGTCCTCTCGAATAGTCATTTCACTTTTAGGTGGATTACCATTCTTTCCGGTGTCATATTTCGAATTCATGTCATAATTTTGTTGGCTGTGAACGGATTGGGGAGTAACATTGGTCCCACTTACACTCGCATAAGCTTCTTTCGATGACTGCTCTTTAGCATCGCCCCACTCCCTTTTCGAACTATCAATAATTCGTTCTTTTCCGTCAACGATTTCAACGACGTACGACGAAGATGACGATTTAGTAACACTACTGCTTGTATTTTCACTTGTCTGATTTGTCGAACTGAACTCCGTGGTTTTATTAGTCCGATCTAATGTACCTTCCGCTCCGTAAAAATTTCTAGAATCCGATTTAACGGTCTGACTTCTTTTCGAGCCGTCAGGGGAATGATAACTGTCCTTCTCGCGTTGGTTAACAAATTTCTTATCAGTTATTTTTGAGAAATTGTTTTTCATATCTCGACGAGATATAAACGATTGTTGTGTGGATTGTGTATTGGTTGCATTATCACGTTCCGATTGAAGCAAAGAATTAGTTGCATTCGCGCCCTGAGGTCTTCTAGTATAGGTGTTCGATCCTGTAGCGTTGTGTGCTGAACTGTCGATAAAAGCAGTGTTCAGGGTTTGATTTTCAATAGAGGAGTCCACGGTTCTGTCAAATGTCTGATTATGACTGACATTAGAATGTTGTACCGAAGTAGATGAAGATTGAATAGTCTCGCTCTTTGAGCTCTGCTGATGTACAGATGATGACTCTTGCAGCATGGAGTTTGAGACGAACTCGCCAGTGGTAGACTGAGCCATGTCACTTATGTTATGCTCATGCGATCTTGTCTGAGATAAATCAGTCACCGAGGGCGCTTCCGTTATAATATAATGCGGATGGCTGTTGTAATGCTCGGATATTGTGGAGCCGGTTATGGAAGCGTGATCGGTTACATCGGTAATCATAAGCGGGTCGTCCTCCTCGACCTTTACATCGATGTAGCGAATTTTTTTACCTGTTGAGCTGACCTTCTGCAGCGTGTTGCTGCTCTTCTGCACAGTGGACGTGCTGCTCTTCTGAACACTGCTCGACGCACTACTAGATGAAGTCACTTCGGACGCTTTTGTTTGTTTAGTCTTTTTATTTTTTATAGTCATTTTGCTTAGCACTGTATCGCGCGGTTAAAACTAATATAAAACTTAATATACGAGATTCTTAAAATTGTAACGATTAAATATTTTAAAATAAAAAGTAAACTTTATCACATAATAATTAGCGTTTTGCCATGTAATGTATACCGTCGCGAGAGTCGTTCGTGTCGGGGATATGCGCGCGCGCCGCTCGCGAGTGTTCCGCGCAGTCTGTACGCTGTCGATGGCCTGGCCTGTGGCTGCTGCGCTCTTGCCGCGGCGCGGAGAAGGCGAGAGCCCGCCCCGCTCCCGCCGCCCGTTGCCCCTTTCGCACCTTGGCGTGTGTCGCGTCGCCGTCGCCGTCGCCCACCGGACCTTGCGACACGTAAGCGCTCACATCTCGTAAGCGCTGAGCTGACTCGCTGTCAAGTCGAACTCATACCTAAAATGGCACATTCTGCTTTACCCCTTAATTGGCCGAAACTTTAGTGTCACGTTACGCATATTTTTACATAATTAAAAGCAAATATTAATTGCTAAATAAAGCTAAAAGCAATTTTGTTTATTAAAGCTTACAGTAAAGACAATGTTAAGGGATAATACAAATCCCAATAGCTGATTATAGTTACGGATTAACGGTCGTGAGTTCGAAACCCGACATTTGACTACTAGTGAACCAAATCCTAGCACAAGGTAATCTGAAGTCGTTGAAAAAGTAAGTAGTATGAGTAAACTAATAAGAATCTGCTGATATTTCAAGTACATTTTTTATTGTTTTTTTTATTATTTTTGATGAATGAACCGATGAGGAAGAAGGGAACAAAAAATTCAAAGCTGTGCAAAATGGTATTCCGTCCTTATTGTGTACAAAATGGTCGTCCCCTGAAATATATCTAGGCGTTGATATTCAAATGCTATATTCAAAGTCATTATTAATGCAAATACTTTTTAATTATTATTAGCAACCTACAGAGAAATTAGAAACTAATTACTTTTAAAAGCATTTCATTTAAGCAATCACCAGGTGTAATAATTATTTCATAATGCCACAAAAACGTTAAGTATAATTTGCTAATAGACGCCATAAATATTGTGGAGTACTGACACACTCTGTAAATATTTTGTATTACTATATAAAACATGAATGTAAAAAACAATATATGTGTGCAACTGTGAACCACATACTGCGGTGAGGTAATGACACAATATACATGAAATTTACATTTAAATTTGGCTTAGCTCGCTGTAGCACCAGGTAACGAGATTCGTTAACTCGACTTATTCAATTTAAATATGACCTCTTTTTTAATACCTCCATGCTTATTGGGTCAAGTACGTGTTAATCGATTACACTTTCGCTTGTTTCTACGTAACAAGCGTCACCAATCACTAAGATTTGTCATCATCAACTTGCCCTTATCCCTTACGGAGGGTGGGCACATTATGCTACTCTTCCATACATTTCAACCAGTCGTCATATCTGAATCCACTTCCTTAAGCATACCCTCTTTCACACAATTTATCCATACTTTATTCCTCTTCCTTTGTAACCATTCATTCTTAACACTTTCTGGTTTATGTCCCCATTGTCTCGTCGCATAACATGTCCATTACCACGCAAACCTTTTGCTTCTCAATTTCATTAAAATTTATATGATGATAAATGTAAAGAGAACCGACGGAAATACTGAAGTTGCAAATAGTAAATGGCTTACCTGAGGTTCCATCTAGTGACAATGCGGGGTACCAACCGTGGTTGGAGGCTAAAAACGAACGAAGTTTACTTTTTACGCAGAGATTTTTTGTCAACCTTATTGTAACTTTTAACTTTTAACTGCTTTAATACTGATCAGTGGATCACCCTGATGCTAACCCTTATGCGATTGGCTTCATTGCCATTAAAAGCTACAATCGAAGATGTTCGAAAGTACGTTATTAATAATTATGACTATGACCACACAATCCAATACTAATGCTGTGACTTAAATAATACGTCATCGTTAATACCGAATATGCCCACGATTTGCAAGGAAGGTACATAAAAAACATATTTACCAGCAGACTTAATAAAGTAAAGACAGGACAAGTCAGCAAGTTTTACATTCGTAGTCATTCAATCGACTTCGTAATTCAATTATTTTTATCTTGCGACCGCATGAAAACTTTCGAATTTTAAGATTGGAACGTAATGTTCGATTTTTAAAAACAAAGCAGATATTATACAACGACCGGTAACATTCACAGACATTAACCAAAGCCAGACGTGGGCTGCACAAGGCCCGTCTTTCGCTGCCTTTAAAAGGCTATGGTGGGCGAGTCGGTTTTGAATCATGCGCCCACCTCCAGCCTGCATGCAAGAGCCGCAAATAAATACATTAATCACAATTTTATACTTGTTATTTCACAAACTCATGAAATCTGAAAAGTAATATTACTTGGAAATGATCCCACTGTATGTATCAGACGTGGGACGCTAGCTACATTTACCTTAAATCGCTCATTATATGCGGTGTAGAGCATAAACATACATTTTTTTTTTAAAAAAAGGATCCCATTTTGGGTTTACTTTAAAACTAAAATCGATGAATTGCTTTCGGCATTATATCAAGATAATCTTTAAATTACGAAAAGATGCTGAAACTGTAGTTTCTTACAGGAAGACCAAGATAAAATTATAAAAGGGTTTTTGGCTGAAACACTACATGTTGGTGGCTTATCTTTTTCTTTATCACAGAATTCGGTAAATTTTAATGTGAACATTGACGATAATGAGTATGAATCAATCTACAATCCCTAAAATCGTATGTCCATGTAAAACTTTATGGTAAAATTATTTGATTATATATATTTTTTCAGGCATTTTACTTTAGACATTAATGTACAGAGAGCTAGGAATGAGGTCAACAATGACAGCCTCTTTAGCTCAGTGGTAGAGCACTGGTCTCGTAAACCAGGGGTCGTGAGTTCAATCCTCACAGGAGGCACAATAAATACAAACATTTTGCTAATAACGCTATACCCTTCTTAGAGCATATTTACATTCAGAAGAAATAAGTCATAGTAAATAGACACCTAATGAAACACCAAGCTTATGCCGCTATAAATGTTTTAATTTTTTTCTCCATCACATTTGTGGCTTTTAACTTCCTTTTTTAAAGAGAGCAGAAACGGGCATCATTAATTCTTTTATCTTTTCAGCGCCCTCTATTTCACAACCATATAGATTAAACGAGTACTGAACAGGGTTACAGTGATATTTTTTTGCATCAATCGCTAGATGTCACTTTTTCGAAAAATGTCTCAAGAGAAATCAAAAGACAGCAAGAGGGCGCCTGAATCTAATAGTCAATAAATGGCCGCCTGCGTCACGACGCTGCGCAATCAAGCACGGAAATAACTAACAGCTGTTCTACAATATTCGTTCGGGCAACTCAGGTAGCAGCTGTATTCGGACGAACACTCAGCCGTTTTCCTTGGAACTACGATTGTTTGGACATTGGATAGTGGCTTTCTCATTGTTTAATCTTTCGCCGTGCAGCACGAACGGTTCCATTTTTCGGTTTATTACTGTCAGCGTGTGCTTTTAGTATTGGATTCGAAAGTGTGTGAATCATTACAATTCGTGCGTTTCTTGGCGATATGTTTACCGAAATTCGTTCATTGTTGTTGTGACTCAAATCAAGTTGAAATGCCTCGTGAATACGTGGACCGCGAGGAGAGTTCTACAGTGTTATGTCAATAGAATCTCTGGTAGATAGTAATTTTAATTTTTATAACCGTAAAAGTAATTTTAAAAATGTCTAGCACAGTACCAAACAGTTCTGCCTTAAGAGCTCTAGCTTTAGAATACAAAAGCCTGCAGGAAGAACCAGTGGAAGGCTTTAGAGTGAAATTGTTAGGAGAGGACAATTTATTTGAATGGGAAGTTGCAATTTTTGGCCCACCCGATACATTATATCAAGGCGGATATTTCAAGGTAAGAATTGATCTTTATTTTATGATAATAATAATATCCTTACAATCATGATGACATCTTACGGTTTCTTGCAATGAGTACAATATAATGATAATAATACAATGATATTATCACAATTTTATGCAGCATTTTTATCTATTGTTTCCTAATTAAACTGTCAAGTGTTTTGTTCAGTTTGCAATTTGAAATAACTTAATGGAATCATCACTATCACTATAATTAGCTAATATAAACTTTTTTTACTAAGAACAAAAACAACCTTGCATGTAGTTTGTTTTGTTGTAATATTTTGGTACTTGATGGTTTAGTATTTACTGTCACATTTGGTTGTTTAGAGAACCTTAAGGGACTTAAGCGAAGCAGTAAGGTGGTTATGTAAAGAAATATTTATGTACTAAAAGTTTTTAGGGATTTATTATGTACAGTCAATTGGAATTCCATGCATTACAATAATTTTGTGGTACTTGGCTGGTGAAAATTTGTTTTATCAAATAAAATATGTAATGAAGAACTAAGCATTGGTTGCGCAGTTGTTAAGTACTTTACTGGATGAATATATAAACAACAACAGACTCACCATGTATCAATGGCTTTTTTGAACATATCTGAATTTATCAGATGTTTTCATTGAGAAAAACATTATGATGCAACCCTCGATGGGTTAATGTGGTTGACCAATTCTCCTCTAACTGGATGAAGCCCCAAGCTTCTCAATAGGAATGTATACAAGTTGATGTTAACATAAAATGATTATTCCTATTCCGTCATCATAAATAATGATTCATAGATAAGTAGAATTATTTATATTGGGGAAAACTTTATATATGAACTGATAATATGTTTCTTGATATGATTTTGTTCAATTGCAATTATTAAAATTGATATATCGAGTTACAAAGCAAATAAAACAATAGTTGAATTATGAGAATTCACAAAATAAGTGTGCAAAAGTAAATTTCTGGCTTTACTTTGAATAATTATGTTATATGAAACTCCCTTCTTATAGTGGGTAGGCAGAGAATATACAACTGATCTATTCTATCAGATGTCATCTGAACTCGCTTTGTTACATACCTTTTTCATAAAAATCATTCATCTTCAGTCTTAGCCTTCTCTGGTCTTTCTCTAGTTTTTGACAAGAGAAATTGTTCTCTTGTCAAAAACTAGAGAAAGACAATTAATCTTAAGATTGATTGCAATCTTAAGATTAACAAATTGATTTCTTTAAAAAGTTTGTTAGCAATGCAGGTTGTGTATGAATGTTGTTACATCAGATTTGGCAGTAACATCAACATGGCATTGTTTGAAATTGTTATGTTAAAACAAACTGATATGGTATTTTACAATTGATTACTCACCGAGAGTAGGGAAAATTTTAATACAACTATTATTCATTTAAAACAAGCAATAAAAACAGAAAAGTATGTATTCTTTAATCCAGTATGTGAAATATATACAATACTAGCTTTCGCCTGCGACTCCCTCCGCATGGCATTAGAAATATGTAATAAAGTGAGTAGCCTATGTGTTCCCTCAGACTATAGAAGTAGAATCTATACCAAATTTCATTGAGATCCATTTAGCCGTTTAGGTTACAAACTCTAACACACATTCATCCATACATCCATCTAAAATTTCATATGTATAATCATACTAATCATACTTCATATTAATATTATAAATGCGAAAGCTTAGATGGATGGATGGATGGATGTTTGTTAGAGTTTATAGCCTAAACAGCTGAACGGTTTTCGATGAAATGTGGCATATACGTAGTTGATAGCCTGAAAGAACACTTAGGCTACTCACCTTTATTTATTTTAATTCCACGGGGACGGAGTCGCGGGCGAAAGCTAGTATTAAATAAGATTATTGTACCAATAAGGTTTTTGGTTGGGAATTTATTTCTAACCTGATTTTATTCACTGCCACAATGCACACATTGACACACTGTAAATTGCTCACAATAAAGACAGAACATATTCTGTAAAAGCTGGCAATGCGTCTGGTTTCTTTGGTTTTGCCAAGTGAATTTCATCCACAGCTTGTTTACCCCTTTGTACATTAAAAAGCTAAAGAATTTTCTTAGTTACAACAATTATTTGGTTGCATTATGTTGATGGATGCTAATTACCTATTACATTAGTGACTTATCACCTATTGTTATTATTTTTTATATATGTAATAAAATGAATTTGTATTGTTTCAGGCACATATGAAGTTCCCACCAGACTACCCTTACTCTCCACCTTCTATTAGATTTCTTACAAAAGTGTGGCATCCAAATGTATATGAGGTAAGTGTGATATATTACCTACAATATTTTGATGTGCAATTTCATAATCTATTAAAATGAAATCTAAATATAACTATTCAAATGTTTATTATTGTTTTAAAACAAAAACCACTAATGTAATGAAAAGTTTTCACTTTCGTGATACATGTAATAAACTACTTTGTCATCTTTTTTTGTTTAACATATTTGATTTTGATTTTTGATGAACAAAAATATTTGATTTTTTTATTATATTTTTATATTATATTTATGTGTTATAATAGTTACATGGTATATGATAATTGCAAAACAAACCTGGAATATACCTTATAAGTTATTTCTCAATATTCAATCTTAATCATTCAAAATAATAAATAATTTCAATTACATATAAACAAATACAATATGCAGTGCATAGACCCGAAAAGTCTCAGAAAAACATAACAATGGTGATTGTTAGACTGGAACCCAGAATATTTTTTGCGACACACTCAAAGCGCAGGTAAGCGGTTTTGTAACGTTTTTAATACTAATATTCAATGCAAGCCGATGAAATTATATTTTTCGTATCACTTTAAATGACAAAAAATCGCAATAACGAGTTTTAAAAAAATTATCGAATTATACTTACAAAGTCGAGAAGATAAACTTCGCAAAATTTAAATTCCTATCCTTGTTTAGTGAATAAAAAACTAGCTGACTACAAATCTTCATAGGAAAGGTCGCAATAAAGGACGGAAACAGCTGCCCGACCTTCTGCTGCGATTGTTTATGTCCATTATTGAACCCTGTACACTAAAGCTTACTTGTACAATACAATACACTTCAAGAATGTTGTACAAATCGTAATATTTATAGAGACAAAACTTGAGATGATAGCATTTAGCCTTCTTTGGTATAAGAAAATTTACAATGCTTTGTTCGTCTCTGTTCACAATAAAGAGGGAGGAAGGCTAGACTATCAAAAATAAAATTAAGCAGGGAGGGGAGACTGAAATGACGGAAATAACGATCGATCTGAACGACGAAATTTACTTGACTTGGACACATGATAAAGATGGTGCAGAAAGAAACCGTATAAAAAAGAAACAAATGCATTACCAATCTATACTATTATAATAAAGCGTAAACACACACTTCTTTGTTGCCTAAGATGTCAGCAATCACAGCATATTTTCGAAAAAAAATTATAAAAAAAAAACCCTACACTTACGTCACGCTTTAGGCTATATACTTTCACGCCGTTAAACTTAGAGGTAAATATTTTGGATAAAAACCCTAATGTGGGAAAGAGACCATAAGTTATTGCCAACATCAAGGTAGCAAGGTTGCCATGGGTTGAAATTATGTCATGTCATGTCATTTTGACATTTGCAATTGATAATTTGACAAATGTGAACAATAAAATGAACTTTTTATAATTTTATGCGGATGAAGTCGCATGGGAACAAGTAGTGATAATCATAAAGTCATTATCACTTTTTTGTATCTGTAGACTGCTATTTCCTAGGACATGAACTCTGACTGTGACAAATCGTGGTAGATGTGATGACGACAAAAAGAAACTCGTCTTTGTTGATTCACTCTCGTACCCTTTCCGCATCAGTTGAACCTTGAAATACTGGCTTTGGACGTCTCACTAAATTTTCCTTCTAAAAATGTTGTCTAAATAAAAAATAAAAAGTTGTAAAACAAGAGTAAAAGAATACAAATACTATAGATACGGTACATATCTGATCCAAGTCGTACATATATCATATTAATGAACGAAAAGAATATCGGTTAAGTATAATACAAGCAAAGATCTTCGTTAATATTGATCTATTCTGCACACATACTACTGTTAAGGTTTGTATGTTGCAAAATCTACTTTTGTGGCATATTACCGGCATATCTTGACCATGCCACACGGTGCAATTGCAAAAAAACGATCAAGTCAATACAAGCACAGTTTTAGTGACGTTCGTACGTTTACCGTTAGCTTTCGTGAGACGACCAAGCAACAACGGCAAAGCGGAATAAAGTTGTGGCGAAACATTAGGGTCATCAAACTAACAATGATTCACACAGCGACACATCCCGCCGAATATTTCTCTAGAATCGACAACCATAAACAAGCGATTTAAAGCCGTAAAGTGCAAACACTAAGAGCGATATTCTTGAAAATATTTAAATGATGCGCAATTAGTACTAGGTGATTTAATTACTCTGTTTTGCTAACAAGGAAACACGTGTACAATGAACAGTGTTATCGTCAAAATATTTTGCTATGAGATTTCAAACCATATGTATATAGGACGACACCCAGAACTACAGCACTTTTGAGACAAAAGTAAAATGCTAGTTTTATCTGCGATGTTGCCTAAGTAAACAGTGGTAGTGCCCGCTTTAACATCTTAGCACGAATAGGCCGGCACGCCCGGTGTAATGCCACGACCACACAGAAGATAGGCGTGAAATGGAAGCAATTCCGTGTTTCGTCTCATGAGTGTGGTGCCGGAAGCCTAATTTAAGTCCCTTTCTCTTTACCACTCTTTTCTTATAAGGAGAGGATGGGAAGGGGAAGTGAATTTTACGGAGGAAGAGATACATAGGAAGGGGAGATATTCTCTTTATGTGCGTCTCCTCCTCTGTCGGATAAGGGTAGGCAACGCATCTGCAATTGCGGATGTCTATGGGCAGCGATCGCTTCGCCATTTTGGCGGATTCAGGTGGCCGCTTGCTCGTTTGCCACCCTATATTATAAAAAAAAGTAAAAATGCCAGAGAGCTATTCTATGCTACATAGAACTAAGGAACCGAATATAGTTGCTATGCAAGTAGTGGTCAAATACGAGTAATAATTTACAATCTAATTCATGAATGAACAAAAATGTTTATACACCTTACTGCAGTTGACAAGACATTTTTCACTGTGATATAGGAAGATATACTTGTCATTTATCTCAATGCTAAGTTTATTTCTATTGTTTGTTGTTTACATTCAATGGCGGCAATGAAGCTAAACAATTTACTTTCATGCCGTCACCACTGATTATTGTATGAAATGCAATAATATGCAATCTCGTATAGAAATTTCTAGAATCATTGTTCGAATCTGTGACTTCGAAGTGTGACCTCGCTTGCGATTGCTGTGTGCTGCTGTGACAGCTCAAAGTGGAATTTAAAAACATTATTTATGCGTCTTCGCATAAAAATGCTAACAATTTCTTGCTGGTAAATAACACGAAGTATTGGACTGTTACATTAGTGACCTTATAAGCTTATTAAAAATCTTAATAATCAACGAACCCTGGAACGAAACATTTCATACAAAACTACGTTTTAATTTAATCTTATCTAACTAATATTATAACTGCGAAAGTTTAGATGGATGGATGTTTGTTAGACTTTGTAGACTAAACGGCTGAACGGATTTTGATGAAATTTGGTATAGATGTAGAGGATACTCTGGAAGAACACATAGGCTTGTCGCTTTTATAATTTAACGCGGACGGAGTCGCGAGCGAAAGCTAGAAATGTTCTAATATTAGTACCAACTATTACTACTATCAATACTATAAAGAGAAAAAGTTGATTGTATGCAACGAATAATCTCCAAAACTATTGGACCGATTTAAAAAATCTTCTGCTATTAGAAAGCTACAATATTACTGGGAAACATAGGCTATACTTATTACTAGACTTATCAACGCGGACGAATTCGCGGGTAAAAGCTATAGTAGATAAGATAGACAAGGCACGAGCAACATTGTAGCTAACATTTATACATGATACAGAATTCTTTGGAATATTTAATATCAATTAGTTGTAAGGTACGGTAGCGTACATTCTTCTAGGAAAGTCGATTGGTCGTGAAACAGGACATATGTTGCAGTTGAACGACCGCGCACCGCTGCCACTGCCCACCACACACTGTGATTCACTTAACAGTCAATGAACTAAATTGAATACAAATTATAATAGTTTAAAGTATGTTAATGTATACAATTCATGGTTTTAATCTTATGCAGCTATTAACGTTAAGTGGAGTAGGTGAATCGATCACAATACATGACACATTGTAGCAATCAAGCCAGAATGTAATGACAATTTACACGTAATCGCTCTAGTTTTCTAGCTTATCAAATGCCACATCTAGGAAGATTAACATAAATACTAGATGTCTTTCTAAACAACCGTTGTGAAACGGCCTCTCCTCGGTATTTCCAAACCAATACGACTTAGGGTCCTTCAAAAAGCGAGCCTATCATTTCCTCAAAGGCAACGCATCTCCTCTGGTGTTACGGATGTCCCTGGGCGTTGTTGATCACTTCGGTGTTCACGCAGCTCGTTTGCGCCTTTTATTAAAAAAAACATAACAATTGTCCTATCCGGAGTAAAAACACTGACCTGTTTAAATGGACTGGGCATTTATGGCCTAGTTGATTGTCGCCACTATTCAGATATAGGTTGCGTTTGGTGAAAATTCGGAGTAATAATGGAGATAGAATTAACTGTCACTAACTGGCGCGTTTAAATCGGGACGAAGCATAAGCTGTCATTTCCAAGAAATGGTCAATCCTGTACAGATCAGTGGGTAAAACCATTCTATCAGTACAGTTTGTTATTTTTGTTTTTGTTATAAGATTGTCATATCTAGAATTTGATAATTACTTTGCGGTGGTAGTAGGTCACTGCTTATCAAACTGCGGTCGTACATATTGTTCAATATTATGAGGAAACGGAAAATATACTTTATTCCTTTGTACGATAGATCAAAATCCAGTGCAATACTTAAATTTTACCATCTTAAAACATTACATACCGTTTGGCCACATTGACCATAGCGCCTTTAAACCGGACCACCGTAATATATGCTCCAACTCGCCTGGCGACATAAATAGTCTACGTGATGGTATCAACTCCCAATGAAACAATGAATAAAAGACATTAACACGATTTAAAAACATTTATTGAACTGTTGAATGTATTGAACGACCTTGTATTGAATAGAATAATATTAGCAATCTTTGGATAGCA